AGACTGAAGATGTAGTATCTGCGAAAATGAGGAGGTTGAAAGACAATCTTTTTCACTAAAAGATGACCTTCACAAACGCCTTTGGAGGAAGGCACGTTAGAAATACACTTAAGGCTGAAGAAGGGTGCAGTGTTTAGCGTTAAGTGCACGCAAATCAGTGATCCTTAAACCTGATGAGTTTCCGCGAGCTGTGACCATTCATGTAACCGATAAGCTTGAGGTTGAGTCTAACGCATTTGCATGAAACACTTTGATCCCTAACGACTTCTTACTGTGAATTACAAGCAACACGATATGCAAACTTTCATGAAACCGTTTCAATACTCCGACTAGACTTCAATGTTTATGAATGACAGCATGGTACTGTAAAGCTGTTTGGAAGACTTCTCTCGATAAATCCATAAAGATATGCAGTAGACAGTTTTCGTAGTAGGTTAGAAGTACAAAAAGAAATGAAAATCCATGATTCATCATCCTGATTCACCAGTGTGTCTCCTATGGAAACATTCGACTAAATGTAACATAAATCTCTTTTCGCATTATTATGCCAGTTATTCATCGACAAATATGTTGAAGACACATTTTCACAAGTGTACATGGAACAGAGTTATTCAATCTAGAGATCATGCGACCGTTTTACTGCATGAAATATATAAATGTATATATTTATTCGTATTTTACTGTGATAAGAATTTCGCGTATAGAGTTGTGATGAACCAGTTCTGTAAAATAAAATGATGCATGCGGTAACACTGACCTGGATCCATTCGAACTGATAATGCGGATGAATTGAAGGTTGAGACACAAAGTAGAAAGGAAAAGCTGAGTGCTTCCACTTTATTTGACTTCAGATTGTGTCACACATCACTGTAAATACCACCTACCCGACCAGTAACGTACCAAATGATTTCGCCTATTTCGATTCACTGTATTCATCAAAAATAAATCAATAAACGTCTCAGATATCGACACTTATTTTCTGCATCGCCTTATCTAGTGAACACAAACTAAACTGTCACGAGTCTATGTGGTCATAAAGAGATTGCTGTGCAAACGATCACATGTGTACAACACTATGATCGATAAATAACATCAACACTACAAACCCCCATAATAATTATAGGTGTGCTAAAGAAATGGATTTCTCAGAATTTTAGAAAGAGAAAGTCAATACATTGAGGTCAGTGAAGCGAACAACTCAGTTTATAGAAGAATTACTAAAATGCGTTGGAAAGAATGATAGTCGTTTATCTAACAACAATGTTAGGCCAGTGAACTTGTAGACAAGGAGGCGTAATTAAGATTTCAATGAGTTGGCACTGGTGACTGAGTAGTCTTGATGATTTCAGGTCTCGTTATAGTCATACTGTAACACCAGAAGGCAAGACACGGAAGCCAAAGCCTATTTTCAAGTGGTCAAACCGCTGTTTATATACACACCATTTTATGTTCTCTAACCAATCACTGAGAGTGTGACTTTGGTCTATTTTTGACAACGTGAAGTAAAATGTTCAAATATACAAATATATCGTGTACTGTCGCTAGTGCAGTATTGAACTGTCAGAATATGTGAGAATAATACTGCGACGGAACACATTGTCTGTATCACACCACAACACTGGTGGCTGAATAGTTAGCTGGCGACTCTATCCAAACATCAGAGGTGTGATCCCCAAAGGGATACAGTCGAGTAGGGATATTTAATGCTGTCCAGCAAAATCTTATCAAGAAGAAAACCAGAATCAGTAATCGCGAGAATTAGGATGTCTATGGTCTCCAGAAATTCGTTCGTTTAGCTTACTTAAGTTCATGGTTGTTGCCGATGGAATTGTGAGATAGCTTTAGAATATCTATGAGGATTTGAATACAGCTCACCTCATAGCCTGTTCACGGAGACTGCTATCTCATTGAAAATCTTCGCAAATCGACTGTAAAACGCTACTCCAACCAGCAACTGACTTAGCTTTCACTTCGAATTCGGGGGCGTAACGTTCTTCATCATGAAAGGATTTTCTCCGGTAAGTATTTCACCTCACAGCTGCCTACCTTATGACCCAACAGTACAAAGTTCCGTTTGGCCATGTGTGGTTTCGTTTTGTTGATGCGCGGTTCAAACACTTCACTCTGTTATATCGTCATGTGCCAGAATCCTGACTGGAGGTCGGGCACTGAGAACAAATTAGCGCAATGTAGACAGTCGAATGTTTCTACTACAGTTCGCATGGCACACGGTCTCAGCTCTGTCATGCTGTTTAACTGTTGGAAATCAACGCAGAATCTATACTTCCTATATGTTTTCTTCACCAGAGGAACTGGAGGGTTATACAGACTGTCAACTTGTTCAATAATATGGTCCTGAAATATCTCCTTTACTTGTCGCTCGACGTCGCCATCTAATTGACAAGAGACACTTCGCGATGTGGACAGTGACATTTTGTGACCGCCCAGTTGGATTTTTATGCCTCAGAATACCACAATAACCATGGGGATCTCCATCTTTAATGGGTAAATGATCGTATTCTTCAACCTTTATTGTCATATTCTAACCTCTTGACTCCTTAACCCCTGCTATCTAGCTTCTCTAATACAGGATGATGGGTCCGTGCTTCTTAATCACTGCCATCTCTTTCGTGTGAATTTTCGCACGAACCTCTTGCAGAAAATCAGCGCCAAATATACTTTGCCATGACTCGGACACAATAATAATCGGAAGCGTTACGTTGCGGTCGCCAAAAAACGCTATTGTTTGACATTCCAGAGATACTCTCAATGAACATGGTCTGACGCTCTGACATAGATTCTTATCTGTTAGTGAGACTGTCGTCCTTGTATCAATTCAGCACACCTCATCTCGGCCATTCACTACAAACGCAGAACACATGTCCTCCTTCTCAATTATCCCTACAAATTCTGGTCTGAAAGGTGATAAAGAACATATACAAAGATGCCGTATAATCTTTCCGTCTCCTTTTTTTCTAGAGACCACTTCCTTCAGTGTCCTGCTCCACCACATTGAAAGCATCAGTCACTTCTGCCTATCATTCATAGCACTGATACTTCACACTGCAAATCTTCATTTTTCTCCTTCCATTCGTTCAATTTCGTTGGCTACATTGAGGCGGCTAGAATTGTGCTCAACGTATTAGATCAGTCAGATTCACCACCAAAACAAACAGGTCTCGAACTCTACCATCAGTCGTTCAACCAGAACCTACCTGGTCTCCTTCTCACTGAACACCACACTGTCGCACGCTGCCTTTGATCGGCCTCTCGGTACTGTCCCCACCACGACCGCCTTCGTCTCAAGATCCCCGACACCCACCAACACGGCGACGGCCTTAGACTTCAGCAAGAATCTCCATGTGCCTCCTTACTCAAAAGCAGCCGGCCACTGTATCTTCGTGGTCTGGAGGCAGCAACACCAATTGTAACGCTAAAAGTCAAGAGATTCGGTAAGGAATGCTTATTTTCAATTTGTCCTCGCTATATCACGAAATGATGTACACCTTATCTGCAAATCAACAATTGCAAAGATCATCAGTGTTGTACTACTTCTGTCCTCCCTTTATTTTGTGTTTCTTTGTGTTACTTTCACGTCTCCCATGTTTCTTCTCAACTCTGAATAATTTGTTCTCTCTGTCTCTGACGCCAAATCTATCCTCCAGCTACTTGATGTTTTAAAACAGGCCAAAGTCTGATCATTTACTACCGATAAAACTGTTCAGTACCGCACACTACACCACATGTAGTTGAAACGATGCTTGTTACCTAGGTAAGTGAAGGAAGTGAACTCTTACTGATTGCTATCATCGTCAAAATCATCAAAGATCAAATGAGATGAAACTGAACTTCTTACGAATTTTGTTTGGCCTTTCTTCAACCACAGAAGAAGATGCGTCTTTTAAGTAAGTTTGTTTGAATGTCTCTAGTTGACCGCCATGTAAGACGCTTACTCTACAGTAGCAGTCGAACTTATATTGCACGGAGAAGTGGTAGATCTAGATGGGTGATGAGCTTATCTTCCACCTGACCAATTATAACTTACCGGTTTGAAACCAACAAACAGAAAGTGGTGACAGCAGCATAGGGGAAAGATGTTTCTTTTTAGTTTTACACAGTACCCATGTGTCTTATAACATATCAACTAGGATAACTCATTCGAACCAGTGCGTTGTGTTTGTGTATCCTAATGCATTTTCCGTAGAATTATCGGTGCAAATCCTTATTGGTCTATTTGTGAGGCATCTGACCAATTCGATTTCATGTTGGATGACTGCGAGACTGAGGAATTGTGTCCTGTAAATGTAGGCCTTGTATGGACAAACCAATATTGTTCGCCTATGTCTCGTTTTAATTTCATCAATCAGAATATTCAGTGGTTACATTTCATATTTTACGGACGTGAAAAATGGGATTTATTCCCGACCGAGCGATATAAAAGAGTCTGATAGTGGTTATTGTTACAAGATGATTGTTTGGGAAACCTCTGTCCTGACCAATCTGATTACAATATTGGTGTTCACGTAGATATTACAACCCACTTCGTAATTATTGGCCGTTTTTCTCTTAGACTGCATATCGCTGTTTTGACATTTGCCTGTCATCTGTTGGCTTAACTCTCAGTATATGTCTTTCTTCCTTTTCAATCTGTAATTTCAGTGCTTCACTTTGTCTTTTTGTGATAAAATTGACAATTTCTGCTTCTACGACTGACATCTTGTTTGAATGTGATCAGGCTTCGCTCTGTGAATTTTGAGTATGTCTGTAAGTGCAGGCTGGGAGTGTTTGGTGCGTGGCTGTTGCTGACCGAGTATCGATCCCTCCTTGCTGGCGATATTCTTCTAGATTCCTATGGTTTACAGTACTTAGTTTGTAACTAATGAGGAATGCGATGTGTACTGCTGCGTTACGGGATTCTTGAGGTAATTTCGACTTTTGATATGTTATCAAAGTTTAGTGGTAACTGAGATTTCATCACAAATAACTGTCATTTAACTACCATCGTGACAGTTTTCTACTGTTTCTTCATCAAGTTAGTTTTGGTCAGCTATTCAGCAAAACGAGAGGATTGGTTTCCTGCGTTTACACAATAACACATCGGTTAAACTTCAGTCATATAAGTAGATTATATGAAAGACACAACGACTGGTTGTAAGCACAACTGATTTTGAGAATGAGAAAATGTTTATTGATATGAATTAGTAAAACACCACCATCACCACAGAATAAAAATTTATCAGTTAATGAACAGTCCATGTCCACTGTGTTTCATTCATCTTTCGTACCTGTGAAGAAAGATGGAGTAATATGTATACATAGTGGTGGATTGACTCAATTTTCAAAAGACAATTTGAACGCATTTGACTTGTTTCAAGTTTGACCATGGATTGATATCAGTTAGAGAACTATTGACAACCAGGTGAGAGTACTGAACAGCTGGCTGTTTTGTCGTGGTTTTGAACTCATCACCATCAGTAGGCACACCACTGTGGTTAAAACTCTCGAATAAACAGGAGAAGCTGGTTGAACATTCAGCCACCAGACTCAACTTATTATTCAGTCTACGAATTCTAACTTCTATCAGTTCGTGATTTTTCGCACCACACGCAGCCAATCTCATCGGTGGGTATCTGTACTCACTTCCAATCAGGTGGGCCCCATTGGTCATAAGGTCTCATCAGAATTCAAGAAAATGTTGTCCTGCATCCAGTAGCCATCGAGCATCAGAATAACTTTCAAGAAAAGATCGACACTGGCGGAGACAGTGATTGATAGTGAAGGGAATCCATTTACAGAGGAAATCAACCAGACAGGACTCCATATTCAGTACCTCACAGGACTCTTAAATTAATCAGCACCCGCAACTTGTCAAGAAATAACCCCAAAAGACACAGAACTGCTACTGAATACCGATTTTTCAATGAAATCAAAGCACTTTAAGACCAGATAGTTACACGACAGCTTTGGAAATCAGATGACGACGGACGTAAATGCCCTAGTGGAAGTGCTTACGCAGTGTGCGCCGTGATGGCGATCTGCCTAAAGGCATCCTAAACCTGAATGACAGATTTCAGTCTGCATCTCAAAAGGACTAGACAAATTACTCTAGTTACTAGTGTCGAATCAAAGGTGTAGGATTATTTCAACTACAGGATGAACGGATAACGATTTCAGAACCACAATCAGAATTGCTTGAAAGAACTTCTTTACTAAAAGATTAGTTTGGAAACTTCTGCACCACTCAGCGGTAACAACATCATTCCAATTTTTAACACCAATGTTGGGTCAATTCTTCTCCATGCGTCAGGAATTTGGAGTGCTACAAAAGTCATCTCGAACCGGATACTGAAGAATTTTATCAACAGCTGGATGGCCATCTAGAAACGATTGCCAATGAGAAACTTCGTCAACGAACCAACAGGCGGATAACGTTTGCTCAACAAATATTCCGAAGTAAATGTTGATGTATTATATAAACTCTAAGAAGACGACAGTTTAACATCACACATACCAATCCCTCGACTCTAGTTTAAATATAAAAAATGTGTTAGCCTGGCTTCCTAGAGTGACGTGGAGAAGATTAGATGAAGAGTGAATGAAAATCTGTGGTGGTCATTGTCGTCTCCGGGATTAGTTGAGTGTGCTCGCAGAGGGAGAGAACCGAGGCCAATGGGGAAGCACACATCTCAGGATTTATATTTCCTTCAGAACTTGAGCATTAACTGAGTGAATAATAATGATAGTGATGATAATAATAATAATCAAAAGGCAGCGAAATATTCATCTTACAACAAAATGAATCATATGCAAATAACCTCTGAATTACATACCAAATTCATGACGAGCCTCTCGAAACATTGCATCGGAAACTATTCTGATAATACTCATTGTTGACATGTCTAAACATAAATGCATTTATTACTATATGAGTAAAATGTGAACCTACTGGTAATCCCGTGAATTCTTTGCTTCTCAACCTTTTCTACTTCAGAAATCAGTTGAACTAAACATGTGAGATAACGTCAAGGAGAAATATTAATTGAGCGGATATCAAATAAAAAACTGGTGAATATTTGAATAGCGCATTGTCTATTTCTCCTGCTTCTCATTACAGAGTTTATATCTGGACTCTGAGAATCCTGATAAGAATAAATGTCATTTTATGTTTGGAGGCAAACGGCAGGCAGAAAGCTCTGCCTGACACTACCGTGTCATGCTTGTTGTGTTGGCTGCCATTCACCACTCAGCAATAGCGTATCTTCAATCTTGGAGGAACGACTCATTTCTCTTCTGAGATTCGAACTCTTGGTCACCCAACGCCACCTGCAGTAAAAGATGTTATTACTGAGCTTTCCAGGCTTGCGATTCAGCTCCTCTTATGGAGTAATGGATCCTCTGACTAAACACTGTGTGGAAATGATTGTACTATGTCTCGTCCGTGTTGTTGATACATAGTGAATTTTATTAATCAAGTGTGCAATGTGACCACCATGTCAGGTGGCTAAAGTGAGTCTTAGAGATAGAGATGGATAGAGGGTGGGAGAGAGGTCGGAAGACTTTTCCAACATCTAAATGATACAATGAAGCCGAAATAGAAATGTACTCAACATATGTTGGTGAGAAGTTTATAACATGTGTGAATGTGAAAATCTAGCAGAGAACCGTTTCAAGCTATTCAGTTCACTTCGCACAAATGTCACAGACACACCAGGAGGTATACTGTCAAAATGCAACAAGCTAGAAGAAGAGGCATGTAGCGTGGACACGATTTCACATGAACACAGAGAAGATAGTGCAGAAGAAGATAACCAACCAACCAAACACCACCAACAACAACAGGAAACACCAATCACTGTCAATTGGAGAAATTTGAAGGAAGTTGCTTCTTTCATTTTTCTCGACAGCCAGCATCGTTTCAGGTACACTCATTTGGCACGGATCGAGACGTCAAAGCTAGTCAGGTTTTCAGTGGAAAGGCAGACCTCCATTACTCTTAAGTCACTTTGGAAATCTCCTGCACTAACCACAAAGAACAAGTTTCAGAGTTTTAGTACTAGTGTGAAGTCGTTCAGTTCTTCTTCACAGTTGAGAGACTTCACGTGTTATGAAAGGCATTTTCAACGGGTTACTCCAGACTTTAATCAACAGACTGCTGACTCCGCTCACTCCATACTGGAGATCAGATAGTCCAAATAGATGAGCGACAAGAAACTCTAGCAACGAACCAACCAAGAAACTGTGGCAAAACAAATAAACAGAGGAAAGTGGAAATGGACCGCTCACACGCTGAGGAGACAGTTTAGTGAAATAATGCGCCATGCCAGGTGTCTAACGAAATTCGAATGTAAAGCAGTGAATTGAACGATTGAAGGTGGCAGTGAGAAGATGGTGTGAGGAGTAAACGGAGGCTAATGGGCAATCATGGAGTAAGATGGAGACAACTTTGGCAAACAGAATGAAATGGACATGACTAAGAGCTCAATTTTACTAAGAAAAATGAAAAGAGCAATATATCAACAAATGGAATTTAAGAGACATCGACTTGGACAGGTCAGTATTCACCACTTAACAGCTTCTGTCCTATTTCACTACAAAAGAAATCCGGTCAGTGCTTTGCTTCTCACTGGCAGCTGGATCGTGTGTTCTAAAGAGTTGATCGATGAATAATTGTGTCGAATTCGAAAAATAGCCATCGACAGTGAATACACCACCAAGTTTATCGGTGTATATTCCAAGTGAAATAATGAGAAATTGATTGAAATACTTGTACGAAAGAAGAATGCACTCTTCAGATTGATATTCATTACAGGCGGCAAAATGAGTTTACGAGATATTTGCCGACTGCAGAATACATGCATCGCTGTAGCGTGTCCCACTGGGAAATTAAAAGCAGCTGTAGTACTATATTAGTAGTAGTAGTAGTAGTAGTAGTAGTAGTAGTAGTAGTAGTAGTAGTAGTCTACAACACGAAGAACATGCTCAGGGAAAGAAATCTGGATGTGAGAGTGCCTCCCGAAACCTGAAACTGAATTCATTCATTTACCTGTACTTGCAACACCATTTATACAGGAAGAACCGAGAGGCTGCATAAGAAAAGGATTTCTGCAAATTTTCAAAAATTACTGTCATAAGGTGGAAGACTGGGTGATAGCCCTCCGATGTGTAAAACGACAGTAGTAGGAGGTTACTACGACATACAGAAGTAACAGAAATCCAAAAATCATGGCCTGATTTACGCGTACAGCAGGATTTTTTGATCCACCTTGGATTGTCTTGGTAAATCATAGTTTCTTCACTTACTATTTCATCACTCGCGTCATCGCATTATCCTGCTTAAATGTTGTTCCCCTATCCAACACTTTTACCACTCACTGTGTTTATTATGCTTGACATAAATCAACCACATAAATGAGGTCTTTTAATTTAGGATAGACAAATGACCTAACTTCCAAGATATAGTTTGCAGGGATTCGATTTTTTCCATATTTGGATCACGGATTGGTATCAGTAAGAGAACCATTGAAAAGCAGCTGGGAGTGCTGGCCAGTTGGTTGTCCATTCCAAGTTTGGGATTCACCGACAGTTCACACACATGCGCCCATCTGTCGGCGGTGGAACCAAGGACCTCCAGGTTATGAAGCTCGCTAGTGATTGCCTACATGACGAAGTTGACTGGAGTTCTATGGACGAGTCTCAACCAGTGGGATTCACCATGTGAAGTGCGAGGACAGATATTCGCCTACGACATTGCTTATAAGATGTGATAACATCACGAATTACTACTTGTTAGAATTCAAGAGCCGCTGGACTATGGCTACTATCCGTTGAATGTCTCACAAGCTTTTTCTCATCGCCTGCAGATCGGTAGTGGGGTTGTGAGAGCATACTGACGAACAATTTCGAAATAGGAAGGAACAGCTGTTCAGTACTCCTTGATAGTCTCTAGTGGTTCTCTTACTGACATAAAACTACGATCCACCTTGAATGAAATCAATTCCTTACAGAATAATCTTTGAATATTCTATGATAATCTTATCCTCGTGAAATTTCCTCCAAAGTATGATGTTAGAGCCTATCAACAGGTGTTATGTGGGTGAAGTTCAGCGTGTCCTGCATAAATACACAGGCCTTCTATGTTCTAGTAAGCAAAGTGTTGTCAGTAATTAGAAATGGTTCACAGAAGAGGGTAGAAGGATTGCAAGCACACAATTCGTCGCTTACCAACAGCATCTTTGAATTCAGACATTGGTCCATTTTTCGAATATGACTTTGTCAGAAATTGATCGGTGGCTGAAAAAATATATGAAGATATTTATATAATTGGTTAGGAGGTACACAGGATAAAAGAAGGTATTGAGATTCAAAATCTATGAGTGACGATTAGATATGTGTTTTGCATCCCTTCAGCTCTGAGTGGAGAATATGTCCCAAGAGAACTTGAAATCTTTATGTTTCAGAGGCTGAGGTGTAATTTTAACGGCATTCACTGATCGTCAGATTCACGCCCATCAAACTTTGATGATATATGGGTGAAAAACAACTGTTTGACAGAAGTGAAAGATAGAGAAGATAGGACTGAAAGTGGACATATAGAAGACCAACAACAACCATCTATCAATTTCAGTGGGAGAAATTTGAATGTGCTCACTTCCTTCACTAAGCTAGGCAGAAGGATTCGTTTCAAATACATCATATATTATGAGTCATGTCAAAGCTTGTCAAAATCAGAGCGGCAAGACAGACACTCACCACTCTGAAATCAACAAATCAACCAAGAAACTTTGACCCAACGAACATGCGGACGGAAATACAGATGGATCAGAAACACACAGAGGAGAATGTTCAGTGTTATCACACACGTCTGAAAAATTCTCAGCTGCAGCTCGAATAAGGAGCGTCGAGTTGAGCATTAATTCCAGTGAAGAAGAGATAAGGAGAAATGATGATTCGTGGTTTCTACTTAAGATGACGGCAGAAAACAGTGTAAGTCGAAACATGCTTTTCAAGTCTTAGGTTCCACCTAGAACCAAAAGGAATAATCACAATAGTTAGATGGTAAAATATACATCAAGTATGAAATGTATGCATGGATAAATGTATCGGTGAATGGATGAATCACAGCATTTGAGATGCGTATAAGTAATATTGGTGTCAGATTCACTACCGCCAGTTAACACACTTGCATATCAGTCACAAGAAGACTTCGTGCTGACTATCAGGAATCACAGACTTCACATTACACCACTAACAATATGTTGATCTTATTGCAGATGTCAATGTTATCTGATGATGTTGCTGATTTTGCACGTCAGTTGACGCAGCTATGTGTCGATCAGAAACAAACAATCAAACAAACTGGAACTTACCATTTTTATCCACTTGCATTCCTGACATCCGAAGACATTTCCGCTCAGCATTATCTTGACAAAAAGCGATAAAATGAAATGAAGCAAACTGCAAGGTAATCCAATCAAGCAGTCAACATGAAATTAGGAAACACCATGAGTGTTCTTCGACTCCTCATATTATTGCTCAGTTCGAACGTACGTAAACACACTTGAGCGGAGAGGCATGTGCAGATGAGGCTAATTATTCATCATGTGTGAGAAATTACCCACTCAGTTATTGTAGTTAATTTACGAGTAGAATTTAGTCATTATGGTAGGATAACATATCCACGTTGGATGAGTGTTTTTTCGTGTAGATGTGTTCACTGTGCTTAATGGTTTAGATGAGGAGCTCTCATCGGCTTACTAGACAACATCCTCAGCCAGTCGAGAGTCCTCTCACCCACTCACGTTGTCCTAGCTCAAATCATTGCTTCGGCTTGATTCGAAATAACAAAGTGAGATACGTGTTTGAAATTTAACATTTGTTCAAACAGTTGTTTACCTCTTGATTTGATAAATTCCTTTTCAATAGGTTTCCCCAATTTGTCTTCGAACATTAGTTGATCTTATGAAGAGCAAACGTAAATTTTAAGGAGAGTGTCATTTCAGTATTGTTAGGTGAAATTTGAAATTAATTGTTTGTGAGTTTGAGTAAATGTGTAAACTTGAAGTGTTTGTTAACATGAGGTGTTAATATTGTATGTCTGTGTTTGTATATCAGGCAAACACTTACACAGTTGTTATTTACTCTGTGTGAACTCGGTACACGTTTGCAAAGAAATTACATAAATGTGTCATCGACTATCTTCCATTGCGTGTATTGTGATTGCTGACTTTATCCCCTTAGGGTGTCCCCCTACTCGGGTCAACCGTTCTTCACTGAAGTCAATCCGTGTGATTCGATTTATTGACTGACTGCAACGAATTGCACTGGTCGCACCTGTATAGCTGACACTGAAGTCAATCGAAGGTGCTTTTTGTACATGGAATTATTCTTCTGTAACTGAGTGAATAGGTTCTTTTTGCTTGCACAGCTTCTCTGAGTGATTTTGTAGATTCCAGCGCCAGCCGCAATCTTATACCGGAAACCTGCGTAGAATTCCAAATGTTTCTTCCGTATATGATAAAACTGTACACGCCTTAAATGCTTCCTAAATTATGTTGAATCATATCTTCCTGAAGAATTTTAAAGGAGATTCACCAACCGAATTCAGCAGCTTTGTGTCAACAATAGGCATGAGATGATCCAAAACAGGAATCGCGGCGACTCCTCTGAAGCAGAGACAGGTGTAAAACACCATTTCTTACTGCCAATTCTGATATTTCTGTCTGTGATGTACTCGATCATTCCGGAGACTGTAGGGAGCCGGAAGACAGTAGTATATTAGACCGATAAGAGGATGCTGGGAGATGCAGACTTCGAGGATGATTTATGTCTAATTTCACAAAAATATAAAGACTTCTACGCCAAAGCCAACACGATGTCAGGAAAAGCAGCCAGAGAAGAGAGGACTTTGAGTGAATATCGAGAGTAGATAAAAGTGAACAATCTACTTAACCGAAAACAAGAACCAGCACCAATCAATATAAAGTGAAGAAATTTGAAAGCTGTCAACTTCTGAATGTATCTATGACTGTCAAAGACTGTCAAAGATATTCAGAATCGGAAGGATTATTCACACCTTTAGAACTCTGAAATCAGTTTAGAACACTGCCGCTGTCTGCATGAATAACGAAGGTTGGATTTCTAACATTAACTTGAAGTCAGTTTCTATATTCCTGAGGCACTTGATGTGTCGTCAAAAGCATTTCAAACAGCCTATGAAGAATGTTATCAACAGCTGCGTTTGCTGACTTCATACTGAAGATCGAATAGCCAGATAACAGGGATAGGCACAAAGAATCTCTCGCAACGAGCCATTCAAGAACTTATCACTCAGCAAATATGCAGAAGAAAGTGGAGATTTATCGGACACAGGTTGATTAGACTGTTGGGTGACATGGCACACAAGACCATCGCTTGAGTTAAACCCGAGTATCCTACAACATATGCGCAATTTCCTCGCATACAATTCAATTGTTCCACATTTCTCACACTGAATACATGAATACATTATTACTTCATATAAATCTTTCAAAACTGAAATCATTCAGTAACCCATCTGCCTTCGAAATCCTTTACGAAGTGAACTAAGAAAGTTGAATAAATTTGGATTGTTTGCACTCTGACAGTACATATTTGAGAAACGTCTTTCTTCTATGTCCTCAAAAACATCAGACTTTTTCGTCTATGTAAGACAACAGCCAAATCTGACCAGTCTCGGTGATGATCTTCACTCCCCTGCCACACAACAGTACTACTGCCTATTGGTCATCACTGCAGGTAACCGAACGATAGTTGTTCATTCTCAGAACGACAAATCCCACTGCGACAAGTATACATTGGAATCTCACTTCCGAAAGAGCAATCAACACATGGTAGGCAGAGAAAATAAAACACCTGTTACTCAAGATCACAAATTAGTTACTTAATATGCCACCATTGATTGGAGTAGGAATTCACGGATCATTGGGTCATTTCACAGTGGGTGAAAATTCTACACCTATGTCTTGTAACTGAAAGGTCATTGGAACGAAACTCGTGAGGTGCGTACTGCTCAAGAGTCCTGAAATGTGGGCAACGGATGTCCAGTACACCGTGCTTATTCTCAATGATTCTCTGACTGGTTTAAGCCGAAATTATACCTCTACATTATCTCAAGAAATTCAATGTAAACAAACAAATATTTCCGATTACTCACTTGGATGTGCATTCTCAGACCTATCCTCAGCTTTATAGTACAAAGCTATTAATAGAAAACATCATGAATGTATCTCACAGTTAAAAAAAACACACAATGAAAATTATTAGACTTAGAATGTGCTTTGTGAAATTTATTTCATGAGAGAGTATTTGATCATAACTAGTAATTTAGAGTCGACAGTCACTAATTTTGACTGGATCCAGGTCAGTGAGAAGAATGGTCAAATTATTTGAGTTTTCGAAGAGTTTTATGTGATGAGTAGGTTTGAGCAATTAGGCTTAATTGGATCTGTCTTCCAGTTTAGAGTTAAAACTCATTCACATCAAGCAACTAACTGACTGTATTTCCCATTATTTTAAAATTCCATTTGATATTGCTTCTCGTGATATGACTACTACTACTACTACTACTACTACTACTACTACTACTACTACTACTACTACTACTACTACTACTACTACTACTACTACTACTACTACTACTACTACTACTACTACTACTACTACTACTACTACTACTACTACTACTACTACTACTACTACTACTACTACTACTACTACTACTAAAATCAGTGTTCTATTAACAGGACAGGCTAATGCTCATTCACCTGCAAACATTCACTGTCAGTTATTCGACGTACAAAATGTATATTCTTCTCAAATAAATACTCGGCAAATTATTCTTCTCCACAAGTGCCTTCAGTATATATGTACTGCTCCTACTACTATGTCGTTTGGTTAGGAACTCTTAAGTTAGTGAAGAGATCTTTTATGTTCCTAACTTCCATTCAAACATATCTCCCGTCCGGTATGCAATCGAGTGATGGCCTGTCGCATCATTTCATTCGACGGTCTCTTCAGCGTGAGTTTGTTTCCAAAGTTGCTTGCGGCTTATTCGGGGCTCAATGCTGGAATCCACGTTAAACGTACATGTTGTCCCGTATCAACTTCTGGCCGACGCACAACGGTGCCTCACCCGTCTGAATATAACCGATCAGAAAAGGGGAAATGATATGTGTCAGGCCAGGAATTCCACTATGCAGAAAACACAACACTTATTTAAACTTCGAAGAATAAGATTGACAACGTATATTCCACTCGAAGCACAAACGAACGGAATAAACAACTAACAGTAAAAATCCTTCCTGGCCTGCTCACATTTCACATTCCTCCTACTGAGAGTGATCGGTGTTGGCTGTTGTTGTTGGTTGGTTGATTGATAGTTGGGTTGTCCTCATGACATCCGTCGTCTCCGTGTTCATTCGAAGTCCCAATTTTGCTTCGTACCACTTCCACCAAATCGTTGATTATTATCTGCAAGTTTTCGAATTTTCGTGACATTATCGCTCTCTGCATTCTGCCGAGTGATCCTTTTTAACACAATCAGAATTGACATTGATGATAATATTCGGAGTTTTTTACTCCTGTCTTTACTTGGAAGTCTTTTCTTGTAGTTCCCGCGAAGTGTGGCATTCTGATTGAGCTCTCCAATGAGGTCAATAAATATTTCCATCAATGAAGTGCATGGTGTCGAAGTACTTTCCAAACTCTATGTAGTCAGTCAACTTCTCTGGCATGTTTTCAGTTCTTAGTTCTCGTATTTCCCACTCAATCATTTCCAAATGTCTACTCATCATACAACGTTTCTATTGACAACCGCTGTGATTACGATAGCTTTTTGAGTTCTGCTTCATACATTGTTATTTTTCATACACTCTGATTAATTTTCCTACCAAGTGACAAAACGCAGTGACTTGTGTTGTTAATTAGCATTGCATACACCTACCCTTAATAAACCAGTGAGCTGTGAATAAAAGTTACAAGAGGAGATCCCTTTGTCGACTTGTGTATTCTCAATGACTGTCGCACTTATTGTCAGCATCATGAATAAGCACAGACCAAAACATGGGAACAGAATCTGTGGCAATGCTGTTATCATTTACATCGAATATCTTTGAAACAACGACAACAACAACAGCAATGCCATGTTGACTAACCTGCTTTTGTATACAGATCCTTTCTTGCCGTCCATGCATTTCGAAGAAACTTCACGAAGTTATCGTAGACTGCAAATCATTAGTAGAATACAGCGTTAGACTCAGAAACTTGAATTTTTATTCACGTGTAATCAAATGTCTACTTTGTATCGATCTCGATCTTCCTGTCGATTGATTAGGCAGAAAGGTTCGACTTTTGTCGATATGTCGGCATCTGAAAGAGACGCTCTGACAAAGTTTGTGGATTAGGTTTAAGTAATTGGGTGGGTGGTGAATAGCGGTGGAATCCATGACGCTTATCTCGTCTTATTCAGAGCTCGTCATCTGAGCGTGCCTACAATCCCCATTGGTTGAATATTTCAGTCCAGTCAGTCAACGGAAAAATCGAAATTCACTCAAAACAAGCAATAAATGATGTCCGTTGCACAAAAGGCGGCTCTCATTACCGAAGACTAATAGTGATTAACACCATATTGTTCGAAATGATGGGTACTCGTTTCGAGTCTCAGTAGAAACACCATCACCAACTGGAGAATGCACACACATCTAACTGAATACGAAATGTGCAACCTGGTTTTCACTACTAGTCACCATCCAATCAATCACTTCACATTTTACTAATTCAGAATCTGAATAAGTCCAGAAGATGTTCAGTGGCGTTTTTGAATAACACCTACTGTCACAATCAGGTTCCGCATTGTTGATGGTGTTATTATTGATCTGAGACTGATCATGCCTTAGCTGTAATCAATGAGCAGACTGACGTAGAGTAAGAGGATGACATGACCTGTTTGGTGGAGACGACATAGAAATCGATTTCCCTAGATGTCTTTACAATGGAGTTGAGTATACTATGTATGCGGCTGCTGACTTAGGCTGATATTGTCGGGTTGATTCATATTGAAAACTACTTTGAGTAAATGCACTGAAGTAGCCCGATGCATTGATGATTCGACATGAGCATATGAAACGTGTTCAGCATTTACCGTGTTATATCGTCTGCAACACAAGTTGATTATCCAGATACCTGCTCAATAGCAAGTGTGGAAATCAGCAGTCCACGTCGACGTAGTTTTACTGTGTGTATGGAATGACAGGAAGATGAATATCTTCAGAGTCATGATAATATCCAGACAACATGATTGTGGAGAACAGTGGCGAGTTGGGGGAGGAAAATCAAAAATCGATCTATCTATACTACATACATATAATGAACAATGCTTCCTCACGGAGATCAGAAGCTACCTGTAGTGAGGTCAATTTTCGATTTCATTTCTTCCAATTTGGAGCGAATATCTTTTAAAGTATCAGAATCTGGAAAAAAAGTTAAAATTAGAACGAGAAGTACGTGATAATGTATACCCTTGGAAAAATTCCATATCTATCTACCATCGATTTATCTATCTTAATATATGTCTGTGTATTTATAGACAAAAACATTCGTGCGCATATTCTTGTATATATATCGACTTATCGGATATATCAATAAACTCACAGTGGTGCATCGGAAAGCCTTTGTAATGCATATAATCTGAAAAGCAGATAAATCGAGATACACCGTTTACTCACTAAGCTCATTTAACACGTTCACGTTCTAACGTAACGTTTACGTAACGAAGTCTTTCTTAAATAATCCAGGCAACAATGAGGTGGAGAAATAAAGCAGCATGGGTAGAATACAAGAATCATCAGACTTCCAAAGTAGAGAATGAGTGATATTGGAGGAAAGACATATCGCAAGGTATTCAACATTCAACTTAGTTACAACTGCAGTGCCATCTACAGTACTAGAATCACGGGAACACTATTTTCATGACCTAATGATAAGGAGAAACTGCAGTCACAAGAAATCAAATCTCCAGTCACTACTGATAAATAGTTCACATGGGAGGTGTTAGTGAAAGAAGCGAATTCATCAGCAAATCAGGTTAGTTCTCAGAGGCTACAATCAGGCACAATATAAGTGTTCGAAATATAGGTGTAGTTGTACTCAGACAGACAGGTGCTTCGGTCGACATTTCACAGCAATGCAGTAGATTTTTTCATTTGAGAATATGAAACATGCGTTACTGTATGTGGAGCACCACTGAGTACTGATGAGGGTTGCAACACCAACGCTGCGTTTTCCAGAGCTTCACTGATCTTGTCTGAGTGGTCTGAAACAATTGAGACAGACTCAATTATCATCATATAGATCATGTAACCAGGTGTTTTGAAGAGTTATAATCCTCGTATTGCCGTTTGCATTAGAAGAAATTTAAAACTGCAGACAGTTTATTCCATTGGACAGGGAACAGCAGATTGTACTCATAATCTCAGGAATCATCATTCAGTGCAGTGGAGTATGTTTCAATGCACGTTGCCACCAAGAACTATGCTTTTTTCCTGGGTTAATTCGAAATTTGCAAATCCGCAATTTTTTAAGACTTCACGAGAGAGTTCGCGAGAGTGAACAATAAGACTGGAGGTCACATTTTAATAGGTAAATTGATTGAAACCAAGTGGACGCGTGGAATTAGATGCAATATAATGATGGAGGATTGTTTAGTAGCCCAAGGTCTAAGCAGGTCACTGTTCTAGTACGAGCCCATGAACCCATTCACCAAAGATCGAACACAAGAACTTCACTGCACGCTATCGATATTCATGAGTAGGTGATTGGATCACATCTCGATGACTGGATTGTCAACGATCTCACCTCATGACCTGGAACTGTTGGTTTTGGTCTCCATTGTGTGGGTTCATCGAGGTGTACTGTTGAACAATGCCAAACTACGACAAAACAGCATTTCAGTTCTCCTAGGTACTTTCCAATGATCCTCAAACAGATATCAATCATTTTTTGGTCAAATTGAGGAAGTAGTTGGACTGTGATAGAATCTCAGCTTTCCAAATATTTCTTTCTTTCTTTATCATGTGAACGTCTCCACTTGTTGGTATAAAATTTCTAAGTTGCCCAGTCTTCGTCATGTTATAAGAGGTTATTCTGAAAACAGATAATACTCGTACGTCCCAGGTGATTATTCGCGCGGATTGTATTCTGGAAATGGAATTTATTCATTGTGGTATGACACCACTCATAACAGTGAAATAAATAGTACCTATTATCATACATTTTGGCCGTCTTCCCAGATTACCATTTATGATTTCAAGCACATTACACACTCACATTTAGTTGATTGGTGAATAATGTCAGTTTCCTAAGGAAACTGAGCGGTGAAATTTCAGCTTCAGCAACTGTGTAGAATGCAAATTTGATTTGATATATTACCAGTTGGCCGAAGAAGCCAGCCTAAAATCAGCTGCTTTGAGCTGAGGCAAACTAGTCAGACTACTAATTAACTCGCCTCCAGGAAAAGATAAATGGTCATTCGGTGATGTTCAGATCACTTTGATCTAGCTAGCTAACAAGCCCTACTGTTTGTTGATGCAAGTGTTTTACAGGTACTCATTATAGTCTATCATGATAAACGTGATTGACATTATTGAATGGTGTATCATGCCTTTAATTCATTGACAGTCATCAATAGTACTCACCGTTCAGAGAATCCACCCATGCTATCTTAGATATCTGAAACTTGGTGTCGCTTATAACTGAAAGACAGAAAAAAGAACATTAACAACACCACTATGAAAATAATCTCAGCAGATCTGTGCAAATGGCAGACTGCCATGTGAGCGTGTAATTCCATAGACATCTATATCACACACTCACACACTGTGAGACAATACCATAAACTGGATAACTTAGTTCGGGAGACAATATGTGATTGTTCAGAATCCTTCCAACGAATCGCAAGTTACTAGAAATGTGCATCCTACACTCCACTGCCAGTCACCATCCACCAAACTGCTTCAAGTTAAGCCCTTAGACATCTTCGAAGCATTCGAAGAAGGAGAGCCGAGATGTCATCATAAGTAGAACGACTCAGTCGAATCAATCAACGGGGCAATGAGAAAATAACGCATCAGCTATCAATCCCGCCGTCTCCGTTCATCCTGATGTACATGTTGGAATTGGTACAAGCTAGAATACATGGACTGGCTATTGATTCATATTGCAGTGGCTGAATGAACATCGACCCCGCCTTCTTATTAGGATTTGTTGAGTTCGCATCCAAGTGGTTTGCGTAATGCCGATGAGTCCAAAACTAAGACGTGACAGCCAGCTGTCCAGTAGTCTCTAGTGCTTTTCAGTGTCTCTCTAACTGGTATCAATTTGTGATCAACCTTGAAATAAACATGTGTATTCGCGAATTTGTCGTCCAGTAAATAATACTGTTTCACTGTGTGATATGCGGTAATGTTTTTGCAGTAGAATACTCGTCGAACCGCGCATGTGGTCCGTTATTCGGTTCCCAGCCACCGGTATTAGGTCTTGAAAACACACTAGGTTGAGCCTAAGAGAGATGCCGTCTCCTGCAGTGATTTTGAACATTGGAGGGACAGGTTGAGTTCCTTGCGTGACAAAATGCAGAAAGTGTGAAATAGAGACAACGGATCAGACTACGAATCACTTTTACAAATTTAAATATGATTTGAATCACAGATGAATCTTGAAACGTAAGTGTAAGGCTTCTGCATTTTATCATGAATCAGTGTAAATAATTTTGAGAAAGTACAAAAAGACAGCGAGGACGCCCTCTTTGACCTAGTCATTCACTCCTCTAGCTGTACAATCGCATTCATATACAATTTTTCAGGAATGCGACTAGTATCGATAAGTCATATTGATGGCGATAGTGGATCTATAACGAATTTGATAGTTGAACACTTGATCAAACAGTCTTCATTCTCTCACAACAAACTCCGCCGTCGAATTAATCTACAAAATGAAGAACAATCAACAGCTTAGGATAATACGCTTTTGTCTCCTCTCCCCTTGGCTGAAGTTCTAGACGTTCAGACAGAGAAACTGAAGTTCTGCATACAAAAGGAAATAATTATTCAACCACTTGCATGCTTGCAATCTTCTTGGTTTTTTTCAACTGTTGTTAACCCTTGTATTCCCTAAGAAATCCCATCTGAAACCACAGTAACCTTTGTTCGTTTCTTGCATCCTGGTTATAAATCATTTATATGAATTATCCATCATCCTAATACGCAATTCAGATGTCCTTATTTAGCTGCTCTTATAACACTGATTGACATTGAAAACCATGACTTTGACAATGCATCGCTTTTGTTGCTATCTGACCTTTTTTCTGAAAACGAAATTGTATGTAAATGTGACGATCGTACAGCTGAATAGGTAAATGAAATCGCTGAACTAATTGTTCTTCATTCACATGCGAAAGCAGATAATTCATGAAATGAATAAGCAGTCCTGCCAAAAATGCCTCTGTCTTCTCTCAATACAGTGGTAATAATATCTTGATTTTTTACTGTCAAATTGCAACGGAATCATCGTAAATGAAAATAGAAATGTTCTAGATAAGGTTTGTAGTGACTTGATTTACCTCAAGCTTGATCACAGATTGATGTCAGTTAGGAAATGATTGAAAACCAGCCGCGAGTACTGGACGGCTGCTTCATCGTAGTTTGGTACTCATTGACAGTACGCATCCAGTGTAGTTCAAACGTTGTCGCCGTTTAGTTGCAAGACGAGCCACAAAATACCAAACTAATATGAAACTACTGCCCGATACTCACATGTTGCTGTCATTGTTTCCCTATCGGATATCAATCAGTTATCAAACTTAGAACAATTGCGAAGGTTCCAAACTCAGAACATTTCTCGATGAAAGAAATCCTGCATTCTTCTCTTCAATCTCTCGCTGTCAGTAGACAAATATTAGTAGGTTGTCAGTGAATAAAAGATCACTGTTATTATGATCATCATTATTATTACTGAAATTAGCTTGAATATCTCACCTTCGTTAAAGTCTTTCGCATACCGAATGGTTTCGTTTTTTCTGACTGCCAATAATGCTACGCCTGTAAAACAGATTGATACATTCAAATATTTCACAAGTAATCACTGTGACGGAATAATTATTCGCAAAATCTCTTCTGATCCGTCTAACTGTGGTATTCATACTTATTTGTTCTCCCAAGCTGCAATATCATGGGTTGATTTATTCAGTACTTCGTGTATTGCTCCCTGTTCAATCTGTATTCTTAGTGCTGCTCTTTGTGAGTGTGTGATAATATTGATAACGTGTTGTTTCACTACGAGATTTTGTTTGAGTGAGTCAAGGTCACTGCAACTTTGAACAGTCTACGAGAATTGTCTACTGCGTGACAGAGCTTTGATCCCACATTTTTGACAATGTCATTCTTGATTGAAAACACTTCTTTTGTATTAAGGAAGTAACTTTGGCACTGTTGAGGAGATTTGGAGTTTTGATGTTCTATTTTTGAGTAAAATCACACATAAGTCTATCGAGGAATAATCATATTTTGCTATCTTAGGAGTGTTTTGTGACTGGGCGTCTTTCAAAGAAGTTTCCGATAGCGATACAGTAGGACGCAGAGATCGGTTCACTGCGATCAGACTACAATTCAGTCTTCTTCGATCGTTAATAATAACATGAAGTTTACAAAATACATAATAGACATGTGTTGGTGAGGTTTGGAGATTATGTGCATACAATATAAAAGGCGATTCAGCATGAATTCTGAACATCCTTGTACATTAGAATCACTTCAGGTTTCATCACGCAGTGAATGGTGTCAGTCAGAGAGCCATAACAAACCATGGACGGCTGTTTCTATATTGTCTTGAAAGTGATTAGTAGTTCACTCTCACAACTACACCTACCGTGAATCTAGTGTTTGAGTTATATATGACAAATAGGCAAAAGTTAAAGTTTATTGGTCAGCAACTGAATTCCGTACCAACAATTGCATTATCAAAGGGCTCGTCTGTTTACATGTAGGCCTTCAGTTCAATCCTTGTACAGGTGATGAAGTGTGAACGGATCAGTAGTGTCGAAGGAGGATGAATTAGGTTTCCATCACTCCTTGAATTTTGCAATGATCCTGCAACTGATTTCAATCATAGATGAAACTTGAAATCAATCAAACGACTACTAACTAACACTTGAATATACTAGAATTAACCTCACTTACATTCAGCAGTCTTGTAAAGGCCATAGATTTCACTGTAATTCTTGATCAGCCTGTTTAATTCATCTAGAAGATAGAAAAGAAGTAAACACATATATAATCGAATAGAGAATACCAATTAGCCATAGTGTAGTGTGATGTAGAATGGTTGAAAGCGGTTAAACTGAAATCATTTCAAGTGGATGGCTAGAGATGGAAGTGTTTATTCCTCAAATCGGGATTACGTTTAATCAGTGTACATTGGACAACATGCTTAACCTTGACTCAATCAACAACCCATCAGATATATCTACTCTCATTCAACTTAGGCTAACTTTATTGTAGATAAGCAGGGTCAGTTCGCAGGTCTTCTATCTCCTCTAGTCTCATTAGCATTCTGTACATGTATACTTGTGATTACATAGTTAAACACGAGAATGATAATTCGTCAACTTTGATTCATGCGAAAAAGTAATTAATTAAGCAGTCTGAACAGAGGCAATTCAATTTGATCGAAAATAAATTCAAGTCATCTACACAACACTGTTAGGACGACTTACTGTTTTGTTCCGGAGATAATTCATTGCACAGCACGTAGGACACTGTAACAAAATTGACAAAACAAAAACAAACGAGGGTGAAATTACTCAATTTCAGCTGCCTAATCAAAAGACTGATGCATGAACAAAGCAGTCTCTTTTCCATTGCTACCTTTTCTTTATGTTCTACAGGTGCATGCATCGATGATATTTAAAGAATTATTGTCGTTAACGACATAACATCTCATAAAATAAAATTGTAATAATAATACGCGTCGGTGGCATAGCGGTTGGGACGCTCGCCGACCATGAACATGGTCCGGGGTTCGATCCCAGGCCGACGCACTCCTTTACCTCGCTAAGCCAGAAACGATGCTGGTGAAGAAGAAAGGTTGGGCATGCGGCTAGCAACCCCATCCTGTAAAATAAACACTGCTACAGAAACTTCAAGCCACTAGCTTGGAGCCGTATGTTCCACTGGGAACGTGAAGGAATAATAATAATAATACAGATAGTTTGTTATAATTTACATCAGTATAAAACTGGATTGAATATCAAATAAATTAGGAAGGGTAACAATACAGAATCACTGAATTTACAGGTTCCACAGCAAGCAAGTGGCTGGAGCTGTTTATTTGTCACATATAACTCCACTTGTTTTAAGCTAATTGTTCAGAACATTTGGTACCTTAGAGCTGTGGCAATTTATTCACCACCCAGCAGACTGTAGAAAAACACTCTTCAATGATAGAGTTGTGGCCTGTTTGGATGAGAGGATCTCATATTGTACTGTTCTCAATTCAGATTTATTTAACTAGATTTGCACTTTGCAAAGCACGAACAATTAAGTTTCCAGAGCAACGATCAATATAGCTGGCCCCACAGGAGCAGCTCAACTGACACACAAATAGATAGGTTAGGAGATAGATACAATTAGAGACGGTGGCCAGCAGAGGTATTTCGTTTCTCACTCGTGGAATCACAACTGGTAGTGTCAAAAATTCGAAGTGCAGAATGTTATCACTCACAGAGGCACTTCCAATTGTAATCAATCGATATCAACGATTCAGTGTTATTGAAAACAGTTATCCTTATCGTTCAACCATGTCAAAACAAAACACAGGAGGTTGCTTAACGACCTGGTTGTGTCTCACATGAATTCGATGTACACAAGCGCAGTATCATCAACTGAACAAACACGAAACTTAAGAATCATATGCAAATTTTGTGCAATATATACAATACAAAGTTACGTAATATAACTGATAATCACTCACTTTGAAACAACGTCCAAACAAACGGCAGTATCAGACAATGCTTCTTAATCATGTTGTTGGTGTGCACAGATTTTGAATTGAACAGCAAGCAAAATTTCATCGCACTATTTATATCCTACAGGTGGCCAGTGAATGTGAGAAAAAGAGAGAGAAAGGGTGTGTGTGTGTGTGAAATCGTATGCACTTCTCAACATTTAATATTAGTGTATTTTGTGTTACTCTGTGAAAATTTCATGTGGAATTCACAACAGAAATTCGGGGACACAGTAACAATTGCTTGTAATAAATTACCTGTATGCCTGTGTAACTACATTGAAACAATTCCCACATATAAGATTACTGAAAATTTAATTTGCGATTAACACATTATCATGCGCATGAGTAGTTATGTGTTAAACTTCACTGCACCCACAGAAAGTACACAAACAAGCAAGTTAGTTAATGAATACGTTGGTGAGTGATATGTGTTTATTTGTTTAGTTGGAAAGGTAGACAGTTCAGGGTAAGTTAGTGAGATAGCCAATTCGTTTTTTAGTAAGATTTTTATTACGTTTGTTGGTAAGATATCTCTGACGTAGAGACAGAAGTAAAATATGGCCACCTACTATCGACGATGATGGTTCTGATCGTGTTAGAAAGGATCACTCGACAGATTGCAGAATGCGGGAAGACAAGAATATGTCGGACCGATGAGAGGACTCTGCAGTATCTGGATCTTGTTGAAGATTAGTGTTGTATGTCACCAACATTCGAAGACTTACAGATAAAGACCAACGATTTTGCGGAAGTGATACGAAGCGATGAAATTACTTCGAATGAACACCGATAACCAAACGATCAACCAACGAATAACAACAACAACAACGAACACTAGTCCATCTCAGCTTGGATATCTAGTTCACTAAGCATAAAGAACACAATTTTTATTTTCAACAGCAAAATTGATTCACTTCTACAATATGACTGAGTGGTTGGACATGCGCTTCACTGAAAGCATTTCCAACAGACTAATGAAGACTTTGATCGAAACACTACGTTTTCGCCAAATATTGAAGGTGAGCTGGCCAGAGGAATTTTTATTGATAGTTACTTATACCGTTCCTTTGTACTGCGAGTGATATTCTAATAGATTCTCAGGTGCTTCTTTCTGTTCTACAGTACTTAGTCTGTAACTGATAAGAAATGAAATGTATACCTCTGCCTTATGGGATTGTTGAGGTAAATTTGCTTTTTGATATGTTATCGATGTTTAATTGTACCTGAGATTTCATCACAAATAACTGTCATTTAACTACCATCGTGACAGTTTTCTACTGTGTCTTACTCAATGAAGATTTGGTCAGCTATTCAGCAAAACGAGAGGATTGGTTTCCTGCGTTTACACAATAACACATCGGTTAAACTTCAGTCATATAAGTAGATTATATGAAAGACACAACGACTGGTTGTAAGCACAACTGATTTTGAGAATGAGAAAATGTTTATTGATATGAATTAGTAAAACACCACCACCATCACCACAGAATAAAAATTTATCAGTTAATGAGCAGTCCATGTCCACTGTGTTTCATTCATCTTTCGTACCTGTGAAGAAAGATGGAGTAATATGTATACATAGTGGTGGATTGACTCAATTTTCAAGAGAAAATTTGAACGCATTTGACTTGTTTCAAGTTTGACCATGGATTGATATCAGTTAGAGAACTATTGACAACCAGGTGAGAGTACTGAACAGCTGGCTGTTTTGTCGTGGTTTTGAACTCATCACCATCAGTAGGCACACCACTGTGGTTCAAACTCTCGAATAAACAGGAGAAGCTGGTTGAACATTCAGCCACCAGACTCAACTTATTATTCAGTCTATGAATTCTAACTTCTATCAGTTCGTGATTTTTTGCACAACAACCAGCCAATCTCATCTGTGAGTATCTGCCCTCACTTCTAATCAGGTGGACTCCATTGATGACAATTTATCATGAGAATTCCAGATATTTTCGTCCTGCAGCCAGTCAACATCAAGCATCAGAATAACTTTCAAGAATTGAGAATTTGATTTATTTCAATTGGAGTAGCATAACGCATCCTGAAGTGTTGCAGGTTAGAATTCATGAGGCGTAATAGTCTACGACCTTGACTTGTAACCGGGAAGTATTGTAATGTGGACCTCAACCAGTAAGTCCTGTAAATGAGTACCAGACTACGATGAAACAGTTGCGTGTTCAGTAATCCCAGCTGGTGTTCAGTGTTTCTCTAACTGATGTCAATCTGTGGTCAAACTTGATACAATTTTGTCAATTGAAGAAACTTATATTCCTCTGACTGACTTACTCAAGAATGGCGTTGCCCACATTTCTAGTGGGTGGGGAGTCTTGTCAAATGTGTAGTCGTAGGAGCAGTTTTAGTAGTAGCCTACAACACGAAGAACATGCTCAGGGAAAGAAATCTGGAAGTGAGAGTGCCTCCCGAAACCTGAAACTGCATTCATTTATTTACCTGCACTTGCAGCACCATTTATAGAGGAAGAACCGAGAGGCTGCATACGAAGAGGATTTCTGAAGATGTACAAAAATGATTGTCATAAGTTGAAAGACTGCGTGGTAGCCTTCAAAATGGCAAAAAGACAATACTAGTTGCTTACTACGACAAACAGAAGCAGCATAAATCGAACAATGGGTGCTTATTGATGCAAACAGCAGGATTTTGTGATCCACCCTGGATGGTCGTGGTAATTCGTTGTTTCTCCACTTGCTACTTCATCGCTTTTGCCATCTCCTTACACTGATTCAGTATAGTTCACATTTGTGACAATTTACACCACTCATTATTTTTAGAATATGTATGACATAAATAAGCCATTTAAGTAGAAATGATTACTGTGATCAACTGTGCCGTAGACAATGGGCTCATCGCTCGTGTCATCGTATTAGCCTGCTTAAATGTTGTTCCCCTATCCAACACTTTTTACCACTCAATGTGTTTATTATGCTTGACATAAATCAACCACATAAATAAGGTCTTTTAATTTAGGATAGACAAATGACCTAACTTCCAAGATATAGTTTGCAGGGATTCGAGTTGTTCCATATTTGGATCATGGATTGATATCAGTAAGAGAACCATTGAAAAGCAGCTGGGAGTGCTGGCCAGCTGAATGTCCATTCCAAGTTTGGGATACACCGACAGTTCACAAACATGCGCCCACCTGTCGGTGGTGGGACCAAGGACGTCCGGGTTATGACGCTCACTAGTGATTACCAACAAAACGAAGTTGACTGAAGTTCTGTTGACGAGTCTCGACCAATTCGGTTCACCATGTGAAATGCAAGGACAAATACTCGTCTACGACATTGGCTAGCGAATGCGATAAAATCACGAAGTACTACTTGTTAGAATTCAAGAGCCGCTGGACTATGGCCACTATCCGTTGAATGTCTAACAAGCTTTTTCTCATCACCTGCACGTCCTTGGGTCAATCAGTGTTGGGGTTGTGAGAGCATACTGAAGAACAACTCCGAAAGAGGAAGGAACATCTGTTCAGTACTTCTTGATAATCAAAGGGAATAATCACAATAATTAGATGGTAAAATATACATCAAGTATGAAATGTATGCATGGATAGATGTATCGGTGAATGGATGAATCACAGCATTTCAGATGCGTATAAGTAATATTGGTGTCAGTAGAGATGTTCTCATGTTAGGTACGATGAATTCAGATTCACTACCGCCAGTTAACACACTTGCATATCAGTCACAAGAAGACTTCGTGCTGACTATCAGGAATCACAGACTTCACATTACACCACAAACAATATGTTGATCTTATTGCAGATGTCAATGTTATCTGATGATGTTGCTGATTTTGCACGTCAGTTGACGCAGCTATGTGTCGATCAGAAACAAACAATCAAACAATCTGGGACTTACCATTTTTATCCACTTGCATTCCTGACATCCGAAGACATTTCCGCTCAGCATTATCTTGACAAAAAGCGATAAAATGAAATGAAGCAAACTGCAAGGTAATCCAATCAAACAGTCAACATCAAATTAGTGTTCTCCATGGGTGTTTTTCGAGTCCTCATATCATTGCTCATTCCGAACGCACGCATACACATTTGAGAGGCGAAGCATGTGCAGATGAGGGTAATTATTCATCATGTGTGAGAAAATACTCACTCAGTTATTGTAGTTAATTTACGAGTAGAATTTAGTCATTATGGTAGGATAACATATCCACGTTGGATGAGTGTTTTTTCGTGTAGATGTGTTCACTGTGCTTAATGGTTTAGATGAGGAGCTCTCATCGGCTTACTAGACAACATCCTCAGCCAGTCGAGAGTCCTCTCATCCACTCACCTTGTCCTAGCTCAAATCATTGCTTCGGCTTGATTCGAAATAACAAAGTGAGATAGGTGTTTGAAATTTAACATTTGTTCAAACAGTTGTTTACCTCTTGATTTGATAAATTCCTTTTCAATAGGTTTCCCCAATTTGTCTTCGAACATTAGTTGATCTTATGAAGAGCAAACGTAAATTTTAAGGAGAGTGTCATTTCAGTATTGTTAGGTGAAATTTGAAATTAATTGTTTGTGAGTTTGAGTAAATGTGTAAACTTGAAGTGTTTGTTAACAAGAGGTGTTAATATTGAATGTCTGTGTTTGTATATCAGGCAAACACTTACATAGTTGTAATTTACTCTGTGTGAACTCAGTACACGTTTGCAAAGAAATTACATAAATGTGTCATCGACTATCTTCCATTGCGTGTATTGTGATTGCTGACTTTATCCCCTTAGGGTGTCCCCTCTACTCGGGTCAACCGTTCTTCACTGAAGTCAATCCGTGTGATTCGATTTATTGACTGACTGCGACTAATTGCACTGGCCGCAGCTGTATAGCTTACATTGAAGCCAATCGAAGGTGCTTTTTGCACATAGAATTATTCTTCTCGAATTGAGTGAATAGGGTCTCTCAGCCTGCAGAGCTTGTCCCTGAGTGATTTTGTAGATTTCAGTGACAGCCACATTCTTATATCGCCTTTTGTCGGAAACCTACGCAGAATTACAAGTGTTTCTCCCTTATATGTTCAAACGGTAAACTCCTTAAATCGTTCCTTATTTACGATGGGACTAATATTTCAAAAGCATTTCAAACAGGTTATAAAAAGTGTTATCAACAGGTGCATTTGCTGACTCCATAATGAGGATCGAATGGCTATCAGGTGACATTTCACACAAGACAATCTTTTCAGTGAAACCTGAGTAATTCGTTGGTCACAACGAGTCAAGTAATAATGCTACTTGTAATAGTAGCATTGATCTGGATAGTGTCTAGAAAGTGTACGGAATTCTCAGCAGAATTTATTGTATAATATATACTCTTCTTCCGTTATCCTACTTCATATGCACAATTGTCTGGCATACATTTCAATAGTTCCATGTTTTTCACACTGTAGATGAGTACACTATTACTTCATATGAATCCTTCATGAAGACGCTAATTCAAAACTGAAATCATTCAGTAATCCATCTACCTTCGAAATCCTCTACGAAGTGCGAGGTTCTGAAAAATATCGAACAGGGGACTACATAGGTTTCCAGTACTCTGTGGTTGTCATCGATTCTCATACTAATGTCAATTATTGATAAGATAGAGGTACAACGCATACAAATTTTGGAGACACAGCATTATAAGTTGAATGCCAGTGAGTACTTCTGAAGTCTGAATAAGAAGTGAATACATCCTCAGTGAGGATGATTTAAAACCATGTTACCGAAATTCTGCAACGAGTGGACATTAGCACCCTGTGGAACCCCAGTCAGTCTACACATGGCTGCGGGTGAACCAGTTCAAGCTCTTCATCAGACTGTTTTTATTTCGGCTAATCACGTGATGTCGGTAATCAAAGGGAAGAGAATCTGATTAGCTTACACAATTGTGATCCATAAATCGTATCGCTGAAGGTGAATTGTTCGTCCAAGCAATATTTAATTTAGATATGCAGTTGGCCCGATATATTCGCACGTGTTGCGGTTGTTTGATGACAGAGCATTCGTCAACCAATCGGATGGTTTGGATTGGATTCCCAACCGACAGTTGAGCTCCGAAACCTTACCTTGCTGGCAGTAATCCGAGAAAGAGGTTAGGCTGAGTGGGATGGACCTGGATTCGAACACTGGTGAGTATCTGCAATTGCGAGCAGTCTCAAAGTAGAATGAAACAGCTGGTGATTGCTGACTGGTTAAATTGTTTCGCTGGTTCGTTGGTAGACTAATCACTGATGAAGAACGTGGCACTGGGTCAGATTGCCGAATGATGCACTCCAAAACCTGGCTTAACTGGTAGCAAACTTGGTGAGGTTGGAAGGTTGGGTGTAGGTTCAGCGAGCATATACCGTTGAAAACAAACTCCACTGCTCCTGCTTCTGCTACTGCCGCTGAAACTTCAAACCTCAAGCTTGTGACTGTTTCTTCCACTGGAATTCTAAAGAAAAAAAATGAGTAAGAATTTCGTGGAAAGCTGTTACTCTGTGTTCAACGCATTTACAGCTAAGCAAAATCCTATTTCACAATATACAAGCGACACGATTCACCATCCATTTTCAGTGCATCAATACAAAAGTACACTTCAGTGGTAATCAGGTCACCAAGTTCTCTCATTTACTTATTTGTGAGAGATTTACTGCACTTAAGCGAATAAACACTTCAGTGAAGTATCCTGTGTTATTCACAAAATAAATTCAAGATGTACTGTGTGAGAGCAGTTTCAAAAAACTAACATGTTCACAGGCACGTCTAACTGTATCCTCAGATTTCTGTTGGAAATCTCGCACGAGAATTTCACTCAGTAACACTAATTGCACTGATATTAGATGCTGTGAAGTGAATCTAGTCTCACTGTTTCTCAACACTAATTTTTACTTATTATATCACTATTATTATTATTTTTAGTAGTAGTAGGTTTTGAGTGGGACACTGGGCTTCCACGACATATCTCCACTTCATGTGGTTCTTTGAAGTCCACCTTAATTGAATCATCGATCGTTTATAGGCTTTCTTAACCCGCTACCATGATCTCATCCATGTCACTATCAAATTCATGCTCCAATCATGAATTCTCATTCGGGCTCCACTCGAGTGATGGCCTGATGCGGGACTTCACTCAGCGGATTCCTCTATTCCACGTCTGTTTAGTTCTGCTCATTCTTTTTCTGACAGGTTCTTGGTTGATTTGAAAAAGATCCTTGTTGCTAATCCTTTCTAACCAGCCATTTGACATCCAATATTGAGATAAGACTGATGTTAGAGAAATTCTCGAGTGGTTTGTTCGAAATGCATTCCATGACTCGTTAATTCTCTGAACCACAATATATGACCCGGGAACGCTTGACATCACAGTTGGAAATCTGAATCGTATACTTAGTGCCAATTTGTGTGAAGATTTCCAGATTGATTTCAGTGTGATGCATGTTTGTTTCGCCTTTCCTATCATCTCGAAATCAACACTCATATCAGAATTCACTTCATGGAAGACATGTCGCCGTTTAGTAGTTTTCATCTCCACGTTTCACCGCGTATTGGTATCAGTCAAAGAATCACTGAAAATACACTGCGTGAGGTGAGTGAACAGCTGTCTCATCCTAGTGTGCTACTCAGTGGCATCGCCCAAGCCATTGTGCTCCGCAAACAGAACTTCCTAACTCCAAGTCGAGGTCATAGACCATTCAGTCACTGGATGTCAAATCGATGTACAGCCCGTAAATTCTAGCTTCTACTGACTCCGGATTTTGTTCGACTGACACTAGACAATGTTCATGTTGACGATTGTTTGCTATGACTCACGTCCGAGACTGTTGAGGCCGATGGGTCACGAGAAACCCCAGCAAATTTTCATCTCATCACACAATCAGCTTATATGAAGATGATAGGATCTCAAACTGAATTCATATATTCGGTAAATTAGAGTCTTTCTGTGAATTCCAGTTTGCCTGAAATGACTCAGTGGATTCATCAAACATTGAAACTGAAGCGCAACTAACAGGTAGTATCAGTTCATTGCATTTATGTCGTGCATTTTTCAAGTGGTTATGTATTATATATACTCTAAGAAGACGACAGTTCGACATCGCACACCAATCTCTCGAGTCTAGTCTAAATAGAAGCTATGTGTTAGCCTGGCTTCCTAGAGTGACGTGGAGAAGATTAGATGAAGAGTGAATGAAAATCTGTGATGATCAGTGTCGTTTTCGGGAATAGTTGAGTGTGCTTGCAGTGGGAGAGAACCGAGGTCGATAGGGGCATCAAACATATCAAGTGCTCATTTTCCAAAAGAGACCAGTCGTTTTGCTGAAATAACAGGAGGTTCCTAAGTTTTGAAGGGCTTCATAGTTTACTTTTGTATTTTATTCTTGTACGCTGGGCTATGTAGCCATAACAGAGAACATGCATACTCAGTTATTAAAATTATGACCGTTAGCTGTCCTCTTGAAATCCATGTTTTCTTCCTAAGTAATGTAATTTTGGGGAAGACTAGATGACCAGTTCATTGCTGACAATTGATTCTCTTCGATACTATTCCTAAAGGCATTTATCCCTCGGATAAAACGTGACTCAAATGAAACTACTGCGATTTGTTCAATAAGTGATATACATGAAATATTTTGTGATGCAATTATTTGATTACGGTGTAAAAGTGTGCTCATCACACGAATGTTTTTAATGAAGAGTTTTGTCAAAGACTTCGCACAATACATGATTTGGAAATATGTGCTGCATAAAAGCTTCTTTTCCTCGTTATACAATCATCCATATCTTGATAGCGGAGGCTGCCTTTTCATGAACTTTGAAGTGTCACCAAATTTCTACAGGTTTCTGATATGAAATGCTCTCAAATATTTGTTTGTGTCATCATGAAGAGATCCGCATTGCATCTTCATATCTTCTAAAATAAAATAAGTCAAAGATACTCT